TCAGTCTAAACTGGTTTATCTACAGGTGAGACACTGAGTATATTTGTATACTGAGTAACTGCAGAACATCAGTTTCCATTCTTATCAAACACAAACATTTACCACAGGCTGGATCCAAGGTCTGCTGAGATCTGTGGTGCTCTTAAAGTGTGACAGAACTGTGGCAATCTCCTAAGTTTTGTATTTTCTTCACAACTAAGTGTTTCTTTTAAATAAAGGAAAACACCAACACATTACTGCTTTGCTTTACTCCCCAGCTCAGGTGTGCTGACTCCTTAATACACTTCGCAGCTGTAGTTCCTGTCAATGAGGAAGCTGAAATGATTTGGCATTAATTCAGGTGAGGAATCAAAACACAGAAGTCAATGTGCAGTTAATGAATACTTTTAAACTTTTAATGGACATATTCCATATAAAAATATTGTGTGTAGTATCTCATAGCAGTTGATCTGGGGGAGCCTCTCCAGGGGCAGTGTCCTACTTGGTGTAAAGAAGAGAGGCAATGCAGGTAGCCAGATGAAGGAGTTAGGTGAGAGGAACTGTTTCTGTGCTGAATAAATGGGGAATTTGGATGGTCCTGAGCTTTGAGAGCCCTTGCCCTTGGCAAGCTGCAGACTCACAAGTAGGAGTGTTGATTGTGCCTCTTCCTCTCCAATGCAGTGTGCAACTTAAAATGGTATCAACTGACATCCCCTTTTCCCAGTCCCTGTGCCACAAGCACTTGGGCAGTGATGGGGGTTCAAGTGGTAATGTGTGTTAAAGCCTCTCTCATCCCCTGAGGCTGGGCACCCACTCCCTGAGGTAGCAGTCCTTCTCCCCCACACTCTCCCAAGAAAAGGTGTAAGAGTGGGAAAAACACAGCCATGGGATTTTCACAGGACATAATCTCTCAGATTCAGATAATGTTCTGCAGTGCTAATCAGGAGATGACACAAGAACAAAGTGACAAAAGCAAACTGATGAGACAGCTTTGCAGGCAGGACCAGTCCATTGTTGGTTCAGGCTATAGCAGTGATGTGGGTCTCTTTGTGGCAGGAGGTGAGCAAGTCCCTGTTAGACCTCCAGTAGAATTTAGGAGTGCAGCAAAGCACCACAGAGATGACCACCCCCAAAGCAAGCATGAGACAAACCACCCATTTTATCAGCCCAGAGTATATAAAGGGGAGGATGAGGATGGTGAGGATCACCCCCAGCAGCAGGAGCAGCACAAGTCTCTGCACAGCCAACCTGTTGTCTGCTGGAACGCTTTCATCTCTGTAGAGCAAGTCTTGGCTGGTCCGAGTCCAGCTGTTGCTGGCTAGTCCTATGGCAGAGACATGCACCTCAGGATGTGAACTGGGCATTTCCAAGTGCTCCATGATGTCTTCTTTGTTCTGAAGCGTGCGGATGAGTCCTCCTGACACACAAGTGGCTTTTCGGCACAGGGGGCAGGTGATCATCCAGGCATTCCCGTCTTTCCTGAGGATGAGCTTGAGGCACACCGCGCAGAAGGCGTGCTGGCAGTCCAGGAGCTTGGGCACTCTGTACATGTTGTACTTGTTGAAGCAAACCAGGCAGTCCAGGTCAATAGATGTGGTTGAACATTGGTGGTTCAAACCGTGTCCTTCAGGACAGTTCCTGTTTGTTAGCACAAGAGACGCTGCGCTGGGACAGTCTCCTTCCAAAACTGCTGGTTCAGAGGCAGCAGGACTGGCTTGCTCCATGCCTGAAGGTCTCTCCAGTTCTTTAACACATTCTTTGGTGAATCCCAGGCTCTTCACATCCTCTGTTTGGGGTCCTGCTCTGCTCATTCCTGCAGCACATTCCACAGCAGGTGCAGGACTCTGTTTTTCAGCCTGTGGTGCTCCAGGAGCTGTGGATCCAAGGTCCTTGTTCAACTTGTCAGTAAATTTCTCCATGGAGATACACCTCGGTGCAGTTTTTCTCCACTTAGCTGAAGGATCTGCTGAGTTTCTGGCTCCTTTTATGTGTTGCTTTATCCCTGTTGTAGGCACGATTGGTTAGTGACAGCTTTCAGCATGTTGTGCTCCTCCAATATGATGTTTTTATGAGATGAGGACCAGAGTTAATCAGTAACTTCGTGGCCAAGACATTTTACAAGGGCTGGTAATCTCACTGAGCAATTCCTGTCCAGAAGCAGACCCCATGGCATTAGCAGGCTGCAGCTTTGCTCACTGTGATAGTCAGACTCTATGATTATTACTAAATGAGTATTTTATGTTGAACGCAGTTTAATTGGTCTCTACGCAGTGCTTTGCTTGCCAGTAGGGGGCTCGGGAGAATGATTTGCTAACACTGGTTGTAGGGCTTTGATTAGAGAGAGCAGAATGACGAATTCTGAGCTCTCTGGGTAGGAAGTCTGCTCTTGCTTTAGCAACACCCACTGTCCTCGAGCTGTTACTCTGCAGCACAACAGAAAGATTGAGATTATCAATGTTGAGTGTTGAATGTCTGATTATTACTAACTTTTATCTGAGGAGCATCCATGATGGAGCATCACCAGAGGGCTGCAGGTGCAAGCCAAAGCATGACGTAGGCTCATGTAGGGTCTCACAGGGTGCATGAGAGAGCTGGAAATTAGAAGTAAGGTTCATGTCCTGGTAGGACCATCTTTACTGGCATTCACAGGACCTGGTGTGCTCAGGAATGGCCTGTTGATAGGTGGGTTTGTGAATATTCATCTCATCTGAAACAAATAACGCTGGATCACAATCCCTCAGTCTCTAATTTCTTTCTACCTTTTTATTTTGAGGGGTAAAATGCAGCTGGGTTCTCAGTAAGAATCCTAAGGAAGGCAAGAAGGTAGAAAAGGGTCACTAATACTGAAAAGGGTCACTAATACTGAAAAGCTGGATGAGGTCATCATTCCTGGTAGAAGATACCCCATACTGTGTCTGTGCCCTCAGATGCACCCAAGCACTCAGGCTAACACTGTGCCTCCACGTACCAGCCACTCCCCCCACCAGAGGAACAGCAGAAAGAAATGGAACAACTGCAATTTAGGAGGGCAAGGCGTTCAGGAAGAGACTAATCTCCTGAACCAGAGATTAGATTAGGGGATGAGGTGAGAAGAGCTTGTTCTCTGCTGAGAAATAGTAGGAGCTTTGTCGTAAGCAAGCTTCATAAAAGTGCTTGGGCGTTCCTGCTGTATTTCTGCTGATGTGTTTGATGGACTTGTGGGTGACTCCAAATTATTAGGAGCCTGAAGGTCATAGAACCAGACTGGTTTGTGTTGCAAGGGACCTTAAAGCTCATCCAGCCCCAACCCCTGCCACGGGCAGGGACCCCTTCCACTAGAGCAGCTTGCTCCAAGCCCCTGTGTCCAACCTGGCCTTGAACACTGCCAGGGATGGGGCAGCCACAGCTTCTCTGGGCACCCTGTGCCAGCACCTCAGCACCCTCACAGGGAAGAGCTTCTGCGTAAAAGCTCATCTCAGTCTCCCCTCTGGCAGGTTAAAGCCATTCCCCTTGGCCTGTCCCTACATCCCTTGTCCCAAGCCCCTCTCCAGCTTTCCTGCAGCCCCGTCAGGCACTGGAGCTGCTCTAAGGTCTCCCCTTCAGGAGCTTTCTCTTCTCCAGGCTGCCCCAGCCCAGCTCTCTCAGCCTGGCTCCAGAACAGAGCTGCTCCAGCCCTTGCAGCATCCCCATGGCCTCCTCTGGACTTGCTCGTGCAGGTCCAAATTCTTTCACTTGCAGAAGTGAGACTCACTTGCAGTGCAGGAATGGCTGAAAGCCGGCTGGTGAGCTGCAAGACTCATTTATGTTTAAAACCAGGAGAATTTTCTGTTGGATTTCACAACATTTTACTTTATTAGTAAGTTGAAGCTGTTACAAGATCTGGGAACGCAGCAGCCAGACCTGCCACTTCTACAGTGCTTTAGAAGCTTCAGATGCAGTCTTGTCAGTTCCAAAATGGAAATGTCTTAAAATGTACTGATTCTTAATTATTAGAACAGCATGAAACCATCTCACAGATGTTGGGAAGATGGAACAGACACCAAGAGGGGGCAACTGCACTCGTGATTGGAGGAGTTTGAAACCAGGTGGGATGAATCCTGTTGTGGGAACTTGGAGCTGTTGGAGACACGGTTATTTTGCTACAGACCTCTGTGAGGATGGCTCACTGGAGGGAATGGGAAGCATGTTGTGTTGGTGAGTCCTCAAGCTTTTTGGGGACCCCAAGGGTGGAAGTGTGATCTTGTTGGGGGCTTAGGAAGCCACAGCTGTGCACGCAGGCTGTGGTTTCGGCACCGCTGTTCCAACGCTGTGGTCCCTCTGCCCTGGTTTCAGTTGTTCCGTGTAGATACCAGTGATAGTCCTGTGAGCTGCCTTCTGTGCTCAGACTGTTGTGACAACAGGCTCTTCCCAGCAGAGTGAGTCAGGAATAACATGTAATTCCAGTCTGCTCATGGTTGAGGATGGATTCTCCAGCTGCCCACTGTGGTGGAGCATGAGGATGCAGGGAATCCTCCCCAGGTGCTGCACTCTGGTCGAGCCCCATCTTTGTGCTGTGCCCCTTCTCTAGCCTGGCAGGTTCTGGGGGATCTGGGACACGAGGGCTCCACATGGGAGGTGTGTTACACTGACTTGTTCCAGCTGTGCTGGCCCACCAGCCACGTTCCCGTGGTGCCTCCTCATGGGTGGGCAACTGTCGTCTCGTCCTTCATCTCCTTTTCCAGTTCCTGTCGGTGTGGTTGGTTGGCATGGAGTGGACACGGCCTGCAGAGACCTCCTGCTCGGGATGGAGAAGACAGTGAAGGTCCCCACACATGGGTGGATGCAGCGGTGGGATGGAGACGTGCTGGGGCAGCAGGGAGACGCTGGGGGGCTGTGGCTGTGATCCCAAGGGAAGCCCTCTGCTTCCCCTGCCTCACTTTCCCTCCCGAGCCTAATCCAGCTCCTCCTGGAGGGCTCCACCAGGGGGCAGCAGCGCGGAGGGCGGCGCTCTGGCCGCCCGGTGCAGCTCTCAGTAGTGCTGCGGCCACGTGAGGGACTGTTGGCGCAAGCGCAGTGCGATGTCCCGTAAACCGGCGGCCAAGGCCCGGCCCGGTGCCGCTGCCGCAGCCGGGCGGGCGCGCAGGTCCCGGCAGAGCCCCGGCAGGCAGGGCCCGGGCCCCGGCCCCGCACCGGGCGGCGGCGGCGGCCTCGCACGGCAGCTCTGGGCCCTCGGCCTCAAGCTGCGGGAGGTGCCGGGCGATGGGTGAGCACCCCAGGCCGGCGGGTCACGGGTGGTGGCAGCCCGTGTCCGCGGCGTTGCGAGCGGTCCCCGCGCGGTGGAGCGGGGCCGGGGCTGCACAGCAGTGAGGGTTCCCCCGGTGCACCCCGCGGGTCAGGAGGCTGTGCTGGGGGGCTGTGCCCCCTCGGGCTGCTGGTCCCAGGCCTTACCGCGGGGGGCTGGGGCTCTGCTGGCATGCCGAGTGTGCAAGGGGAGGTGCAGAAGTACGGGGCGTTAGAGTTGTCTGCTGAGGGATTGCTGAGTGGGTCATGGGGCTGCCCTTGGCTGCATTGTGTCCTTTGGATCAGTGTCTCTTTAAGACAGCCGAGCCCTGCACTGTTCATCAGTACAGCAAAGAGAGAGGGTCCAGAGGGACACAAAAACGATCCAAGGGATGGAGCACCTCTGCTATGAGGAAAGGCTGAGGCCTGGGGTTGTTAAGCCTGGAGAGACTCCAGGAGACCTTGTGGCGGCCTTTCACTTCTTAAAAGGGGGCCCATAAGAAAGATGGAGAGAGCCGTTTTAGCAGGGCCTGCTGTGACAGGATGAGGGGTAATGGGTTTAAACTAAAAGAGGGAGGTTCATGCTGGATGTGCAGAAGAAATCCTTTGCACTGAGGGTGGTGAAGCACTGGCACAGGTTGCCCAGGGAGGTGGTGGATGCCCCATCCCTGGAGACATTCCAGACTAGCCTGCATGTGGTTCTGGCAACCTGGTCTAGATGAAGATGTCCCTGCTCATTGCAGGGGCTTGGACTGGATGAGCTTTGAAGGTCCCTTCAACCCAAACCATTCTGTGACTCTTGCTGACCTTGACTTCTGCTGTTGGAGCTGACATTACTTCAACACCTTCTCTTCCTACAAGGAGTTCCACCAGTAGCAGCCAACAAAAAAACAAGTGATAGTGCTGCTTCACATTCATATCCATGGGCAGAAAGAGCAGCTCTTGCCCTTGAACACCATACTCTCTGCTGCTGGACCAGTCTTTTGTTCAGCAGTGTGCTCCGAGCTGTGTGTTGCACACACCAACCTCTGCTTTCTCTCTTGTAGCAACTGTTTGTTTCGGGCCCTGGGGGACCAGCTCGAGGGGCACTCGCGGAACCACCTCCGCCACCGCCAGGAGACGGTGGATTACATGATCCAGCAGCGGGAGGACTTTGAGCCCTTTGTGGAGGATGATGTGCCCTTTGAGAGACATGGTATGGTCTGCACAGGGCACTGATGGAAGGGGTGTTGTGTAATGTGGTTACATCTCATGGGAGTAGCCTCTTACCAAAGAGTTCCTCATCCCAGACCTGTGGTAGGGCTCCTCATTAATGTTTAGAATCAGTGAGTTTACTTTTGGGTCTTTTATGTTTCTGTAGAAAGATGAGCTGTTAAACATGCATTAACTGGTGGTGTTGGTCAATAAGAAGCTCCCCATGACCTGGCTTCAGTGTGTGCTTGAGTCCAGAACCCCTCTGTGTGCTGGGCTGCACCCCCAGAGCGTGAGCAGCAGCTCAGGGAGGGGATCCTGCCCCTCTGCTGTGCTCTGGGGAGAACCCCCCTGCAGCCCTGATCCAGCTCTGGGGCAGCAGCACCAGAGGGAGGTGGAGCTGTTGGAGCGAGGCCAGAGGAGGCCATGGAGATGCTGCGAGGGCTGGAGCAGCTCTGCTCTGGAGCCAGGCTGAGAGAGCTGGGCTGGGGCAGCCTGGAGAAGAGAAGGCTCCTGAAGGGGAGACCTGAGAGCAGCTCCAGTGCCTGAAGGGGCTGCAGGAAAGCTGGAGAGGGGCTTTGGACAAGGGATGTAGGGACAGGCCAAGGGGAATGGCTTTAACCTGCCAGAGGGGAGACTGAGATGAGCTCTTAGGCAGAAGCTCTTCCCTGTGAGGGTGCTGAGGTGCTGGCACAGGGTGCCCAGAGAAGCTGTGGCTGCCCCATCCCTGTCAGTGTTCAAGGGCAGGTTGGACACAGGGGCTTGGAGCAAGCTGCTCTAGTGGAAGGTGTCCCTGCCTGTGGCAGGGGTTGGAGCTGGATGAGCTTTAAGGTCCCTTCCAACCCAAACCAGTCTGATTCCATGAAATTAGTCTTGGAAATTGTTTAAATTTAGGAAAATCTTGGTGAAACAAAGAGAAGCAGAAAAAGCCAAGGAGTCAAAACCTGGTGTTTTCACAAGGAACTTGAAGGAAAGGTCTGTCTTTCCTTGAATACTGGTGGGTGTTGAGTGGCTGATTTCTGTGGGTTCCCTTTTCTCCTTGACACTTGATATTTCACAGAGGTATCCCAGGGGAAGTTCCAAAGCAGAGACAAACCCAGCCTTTGTTCTAACAGCTTCGGGGATGTGCCAATTCTCATGCAGGTAATGCATGAAAGCACTTGGTTACTTAGCATGTGGCTGTCTTCCCTCTGCACCACCACAGAGCTGATGGCCTTGCATAATCTAAGGGTTTACTGTGGGGTTTGGAGGTTTCTGTGTCCAGTTAAGGCACATTAGCTTCAGTTGCTGCCAAATCCTTGCCTCAGAAGTCAGTTCTTCCCAGCTAGGATTTCCTTTCCAGAATTTCCTGGGCTTGTGTTGAAATTTACATTCCTCACTATCCCTCCAGTGCTTTTGGAAGTGTCAGAAAAGAGGTTTCCAACTCTTCTGAATGTTTTTTCCTTTAGTTTTCAATCTAGCAAAGCCTGGTACCTTTGCTGGCAATGATGCTATTGTGGCCTTTGCAAGGAACAATCAAATGAACGTGGTTATTCATCAGCTCAACGCCCCACTCTGGCAGGTGAGAAACCAGACCTCTGTATTTTGGCCTAATTTTTAGCTGATGACTAAATAGTGTTAAAACTTCGTGATTTATTAAAAGAGAGCAGTCAGTAGCTGGGCTTAGCTGGGCAGGGTGTAGAGCTGAGCTTGATTTTCAGTCCTGGGGGTGGAAAACACTCCAGGTTCTCAGAGAGAATGAAAGACGCCAGTGAATGCATGAAAGGCAAGTATGTGGTGACAGAGCAGTGTGTTTAATTTGGTTTTAAGCTGCTGGCTTCAGTGGTATGTTTCTGCCTCCTGAAGATCAGACTATGTATGACATGACTTTTCTGACAGGAATTTGAGCCAGGCTTAAGGAAGCCTCTGTACAGTAAGGTTCAGGAATAGGGAAATGGAGGTATTGCAGAGCAGTCCTTGCAGGGTCCATCGGTTCTGCATGGGGTTTGGAATGAGGTTTCTGACAGGTTCTGGGCTGGGCAGAAGAGGAAAGGCAGTGTTTAATCAGCTTCTGGAAGGGACTGTGCAGTGGGGTTTCCTCTGACAGAGGCACTGGAACAAGTGATCCACCAGGTTCTTCCTATTCCCCTTCTGTTGCTTTATGTGTGGAATGGGTCCATGCTCTCTCTGCCTGTTCCCTGAGCAAGTGAGAACCTGCGAGTCAGGACTGTGTCTGGCCCCAGTTTACAGACAGAACCAAAGCAGTACATAGATTAAACACAGCAATAAAGATAAAAGACCACAGGGAAGCTCTCAGTGGTGTCTTAAATACGTCTGAAACAGTGTCAGGTGGATTCCAGAGCCCAAATGAGTTTAAACTCTTATTTCTGTGGCAGCCATGGTCAGTAAGACAGATAAGTAATACTCAGCTGCTTGCCCTGTGAGTGTTTGGAGGTGTTGACCCTGCAGGAGAGTTCCTGGGGCTGCAGTTCGTGTTCTGTTACTGCTCTGAACTGGACACTCACCTCAGTGTACTTAAATCTTATCATTAGTTTTCCATGTCCTCTTGCATAACTTAAACTCTTTCTTCCCCTCCCCATTCATTGACCTTTCCAGGGCTGCAAATACAGAGTTTGTGATGAGGTTCTGTTTTACCTGAGTGTAGTCTTGCAGGGAAGGGTTGTCTTAGGCTCTTGAGAATGGTGTAGGTGGTAGAGCTGTTAGTAGCTGGAACATAGCGTCTCTTACCTACACAGGATACATCAGGACATCACGAGGTAGTGACGGTGTTAGCAAGTTGCTAGACTTGACTAACCCAGGCCACCCTTTTCTCTTCATTTTCTATACTTTGACATTTCCCCCCCCTTTCTTTCTGCTGTGGAGCCCCAGTAAAACTTTAGAAAGATGAGATTCCAAAGAGAGCATTTCCAGACAGGCAGTTCAGGAAGATGCATAAAGCAGATGCTCTGAATTTATCCATTGGTCCCAACTCTAAAGCAGATGGTGAGTTATCTTTTAATTTTAAGAGAACTGTTTGTATCCACCACAGCAGAGCTGGATTATTCAGGGCTTCCAGCTGTTTGTCAGACCTTGACCTGACCAGAAGCTCATGGGAGGTGGCATCTCCACATGGACTTCTTAGGGCTTTAAACACCCTTTACATCTTCTGATAGTGACTGTAAATGCAGAGCTTCAGGTCAGCTCAGACATACAGGTTATTTTATTAGCTTTTGGGATAATTCTCTACCTTCTTTCAGTGCTCGTTCCTTTTTTTATCTGCAGCTATCTTTTACTTACAGTTTCAGTGTGTTGTAGAAAGAGGCTTCACTGCTGAGAGCAAAATTGGCTGATTTTCAGGACAATCTTGCAAGAGCTTTGTGATGGTTTTAGATAACTGTTTAGGCTCTGGCAGAGGAGAGATGTTGAGAATAAATCTTAGCTGAGTTCCAACCTGCTGAATAACTTCATAGGATAAAAGGCAGGAGGGAAGTCTTGAGTTGGAACTTAAAGGTGAGCAAGGTGAAGGGAGAGTGTTGTGCAGTCTGAAGTTGCTAGTGCAGCACAAAGGCTGAAAGGTGACTTGGTGTGTGCTCTGTAAGGGGGATGAGCTGATTGCCCTAAAGCAAGTGTGTCTTGTCGTTTGCTTGCTGCCATCTTCTCCAGAGAGCTCTCAGATCTTTGAACTCCTGACAGGAAAGCAGAGGAGATCTGCAAACCCAGTGGAATTTTCTGTGTTCCTTGCAGCAGTTGGAACCCTCTGTAGCTCTCAGCTGCTGGTTTGAGACATGACAATCAGGGTAGGAATTATTCTTGCACCAGTACAGATGATAGAACAGGAATTCTTTACAGAAGCTGCTGTACTTGCTGCTGATGAAAGGGGAAATGACTTTGGGCACTCAGTGGAAGCTGGCACTGAAACATGACCAGAAAACTCCTGTAGGAGGTGTGGAAACTACTTTTGAGCTTTCCATTGAACTATTCTCACACCATGTTTGGTTTGTTATGATGTAACTGACCCAACGTTGTGTATCTGGCTTCAAACATCAGCCTTGAGCCTCTGTGCTCCCGGAGTCACATCTGGGTTATTAGACCAGCTCTTCCTGTTTACAGATTCTTCAGTAGCTCTCTTTGCTGCCATCACATTGTTTATCCTTTGCTTCAGAAAATGAATACTTTGCCAAATGTGATGCTCAAGTTGATCCCAAATCCTTATTTGATTTGCAATTGCTTTCCTTTCTTTAGATTCGTGGTACAGACAAAAGCAATGCAAGAGAACTGCACATTGCATATCGTGACGGAGAGCACTATGACAGTGTGAGGAGGATCAATGATGATTCTGAAGCTCCAGCCTATCTTCAGATGGAGGTTGGTTATGACAGAATGACCCAAATCAGCAGAGGGTCATAAATAAAACTGTTTCCAGTTGATTTCCTTTCTTGTTTGCATTGAGACTGTGAAATGAGTTTGGTCCCTGTGTGGAGCTGGAGACAGAAAAGCCCCTCAGGCTGTTGTTGCTAGAGGTGCCTGCTCTCCTGAGACAGGCTGTGAAGTGTTTCAGTTACTGGGCTGGAAATCTGGTCCTCTGATGTGGCTGTAGGTGTCTTGAAGCAACTTCACCTAGATTACACACTCATGCACCTCAAATGCAAAAGCAAAAGGAAGGAAGAAAAGGGCTGGAAATCATAGAATCCATAGAACCATAGAATGGTTTGGGTTGAAGGGACCTTAAAGCTCATCCGGTCCCAACCCCTGCCACAGGCAGGGACCCCTTCCACTAGAGCAGCTTGCTCCAAGCCCCTGTGTCCAACCTGGCCTTGAACACTGCCAGGGATGGGGCAGCCACAGCTTCTCTGGGCACCCTGTGCCAGCACCTCAGCACCCTCACAGGGAAGAGCTTCTGCCTAAGAGCTCATCTCAGTCTCCCCTCTGGCAGGTTAAAGCCATTCCCCTTGGCCTGTCCCCACAGGCCCTTGTCCAAAGCCCCTCTCCAGATTTCCTGTAGTCTCTTTAGGCCCTGGAGCTGCTCTAAGGTCTCCCCTTCAGGAGCCTTCTCTTCTCGAGGCTGAGATGTTCTCTGCACATTATTGTGGGGTATTGTAATAAAATCAATATGTCATTTAAAGAGCCAGTGATTGTTTCATAGTAGCCATGATCCTGTAGTACCTGAGAGCTTGCTCAGTGTGAAACGTTGTCAGTGATGGTGGAAGTCGCAGTTTCCAAGATACTTTGACCCAGGATATATCTGAGAAAAGTGTGCCACAATGATTAAAACTATTCTGATGTCAGCTGTTTTATTTCACTGCATATAATGAAATTGCTGCATGTTTGTGTGATCTTGGGTTTGCTTTTCTTGCAGTTGCTTTCCAAAAATGATTCAGGTACAAAGAAGGAAGAGAAGCCACAGAAGGAGGACTCTGAAGATGAAATTGAAGTTGAGATGGAAGATGCTGTACAAGAAGTGTGTAATGCAACTGGATGTTCAGTAAGTAGTGACAGCTTTTTTTGTGTTTAGTGTTCAAACCTTCTTGAGATGCTACAAAGTACTCCCCTTCGGACAGTTTAAGTACCACAGCCATAAATCAAGAAGCATTTCATCCTGGACTCAGCCCTTAAATGCAGATGAAATATGTGCTCTGTGTGGATAGCCGATCGTTTTGGGTGGTTTTTCTGCAGTCTCTCAGAGAACTCACTTTGAAACAAGTTCTGTAAGATCTGAAATCCTTGTAGCCTTCCAGTGTCTGAAGGGAGCTACAAGGGTGCTGGAGGGGGACTCTTCATCAGGGACTGTAGTGACAGGACAAGGGGTGATGGGTTCAAACTGAAACAGGGAAAGTTCAGGTTGGAGATGAGGCAGAAGCTCTTCTTCTATGATTCTGTGAAATCCTCTGAGGATGTCTGCAGTTGATCATACCAATGACTAGGTGATCTTTGGATCTTGGCCTGTGTTCCTGCACATTGCTGCTTGCACTGTGTGAATGCGTAGAACAGACAAGGCCAAGAGTGAAGTGGTTACACTGAAACTGATGTCTTCAGGATTTTAATAGTCCCCCTGACCTCTTTCAGGCTAGTTGAAAGGCCAGAAAAGCAGAGAGCAGCCCTCTCAGTGGTGCAGATAGTTATTAAATTAATGTAGGTCAGTGATTTGAACTCTCTTCAGCTTTAATCTTTCTCTTGTGGACAGGACATTGACTTGGTAAGCCAGGTTCTGGAAGTGGAAGACTACAATGTAGAATCTGCCATCTTTCAAATGAATGCAGTGAAGAGAATGAGTAAGTACATGGAGTTTGTCACCTGGTACTTCAGAGGAACACTGTCTGATGTCAGGGTTCACTGTCAACAGTGGTTCAACAGGGACAGCAGCAGCAGCAGCTGAAGCTTGCTCTTGGCTGTGCTGCTGCCTCAGCCTTCCAGTGCTCAGGAAGGTTGTTGGTGAGGGCAGGTTCAGTCCAGCTCCCAGAGCCACCCCTCTTCCAGAAATCCCAGAGAAAGGAATTGGCTGGCAGGGAAGCAGCGTCTGAGCAGAGTGTGTCTGTTGTTGGTAGGTACTGAGGAGCAGCACGATCCCCAGAGCACAGCTCAGGAAGCGCACAGCAGAACTCTGGGGGAAGAAAACGGAACTGGTTTGAGACTCTTTGGAAATCAGAGCTTGCCTCAAGGTGAAAGAGAAAACAACAAGGGACAGCCTAGATCCTACAAAGAGAACCAAGCTAGCAGAAACCCAAAGGTATGTGAAGGGGGGGTTACCAGGGGTTTGCACACCCTTTAACGATAAGGGGAATGCTTTGGGTTACTTAATCAGCAACTGTCTTCCCTTTGAATTAAAACCAGCCTCTGTTTACTGGATTTTGTTGCTGCTACAGCTGAGACTTCTCTGATCCAGACATTTAATAGAGACATGTGTTGCTTTCCCCAAAATGCCACGAGATAAAGTCCTGATAAGTAGTCTGGAATAAACGTTCCCTCGCAGCTGCGTTGCTGTGTGCTTATCTCCTTGCCAGTGTATTACTTTCCCCGCTGTGTGTTTTCAACTTTGTGCTTTCATCCTTCCTTTCAGGCATCTAAAAAACAAAAGAAGGAGGAGCAGAGACTGGAGAAGAAGAAGAGGCAGGAAGAGAGGCACCGACAAAAGGTCTTGGGTAACAAAAGTAACTGTCCAGTTAGTGGCAAGAGAGACACACACTCAACCAACCACGTCACCTTGGTGAAGGCCATAGGGGCGCTAAACATATGACTGTGTTCTGAGTGCTCTGGTGAGAAAAGCAAATAAAGCTGAGGAAGACAATCTGCCCTCAAGCAGATTTCCAAGAACTCCTTGTTATCTGTTGCTGCGGAGATCTCTAAGCACACATGAACTTCCTGTTTCCTCAGTTGTGGGGCAGTAATTCTGCATCAATCTGTGTGTGAGAAGAGTTGTTTGAACTTAACAAAAAGTAGAGACTTGGGTGTATGATTCTGGAGGTAGATGAAGGTGAGAACCATTTCTTCACCCAGCAGTGTCAGGTTTGCTCTGACACTTCTTGATGTGCTGAGATGATTTAGATTTAATGTAACTTTCTACTTGGGTTACACTTGGAGGAGCTTTATTTAATCTTGCTGTCAGGGAAAGCTTAACAATTCTCAGCTCAGGGGTTTGGTTTCTCTTCCTGTTTAAATAAAGCAAAGAGAATCCTAGAATCCTTTCCAAACCGAAGTGTGTCAGCCAGCACTGTGTCAACTGTGACATTCCTCTTTTCTTTCCCATGCAAGAATGCAGGGATGAGTTTTATTTTAATTAGAACTTCTTGTATTGCATAGGCTGTTGGAGAAGCGATTAATATGTGGAGGGAGAATGGGATTGCTGCATCCAGTTTGAGATGAGCTCAGTAATACCAGTGAACTCCTGAGACCACAGAGCCAGTTTACCCTGATGAGGTTGTAAAACACAACATGAGCAGGCATGAGGTTCCTGTTGAGTGTTATTACTTGGACATCAGGAATCTCATCTCCTTTGCCATACTCTGGAGCATTTGGGCTACTCCAGAGCTTTAATCCAAGCCAGGAGCTTGATATTTGTTAGTCTCCACATGGAGTTAATGTAGCCAAAGGCCTGGGAGCAAGGTTCCAAGCAGCAGTGCTCACTGGGAACTCTGCCTACTTCGCTCTTCATAAATCAAGCTTTTTCCAGGGTAGGATGTTTTCATCTTAAACCCCTCTTTGGTAAGTTCACTGAGCTCCATAGAATGTACAGCCTGAATCCTGTGATACTTTCTACTATAGGATTGTGAATATGGGCTGAAGCGTGAGGACTGTGGGACTTGGCCCTTGATTTATGGCTTGTGGTGTTTCAGCTTCACTCTGGATTTTAGGCTTGGCGTCAAACACTAAGCTTGAAGGAAGCACAACAGATAAGAGGAGACACCTCATCAGCCAGGGCAAAGATTAGAAACATCTTTCTGGAAGTAAGGAATGCTGCTTTTGACAAAATTCCATGTATTCTCTGAAGTTTCCAAATCAGCACAGAAATACAAATGCCTTTTCTGGCTGAACTGCCAAGATCTGAGCTAGTACTTCTTCATATGCTCTGCTACTGTTTATCCAGAGCAGTTGGAGAAAGAAAGGAAGGAGCTGTAAGTACTGGTGGCATAGGAGAACAGGCTTTAATGCTGGTGAAGAAGTTCCTTTGGTTCCTGTAATGAGCTTGGTGGAAATAAAAAGTAATACAAAGCAGCCCTTCTGCTTTATGGTGGGACATAGTGTCTGGCAAGTGAAGCAGTGGGTTACATGCTGCTCTGAGTGCCTGTGGTGGGCATGGGGGAAGTCTGTACTATTCCATAGGTGGGAAGAGCATGGATGAGCCTTGAATTCACAGTACTGTTCTTACGCTGTAAAGGAGTTAGGTGAAATCTGTTTCATGCCAACCTTAGCCTGTTGTTAGCACCGTTGCTTCCTGGCATTCATGTTCTCTAAGACAGTCACTTTCAGTAATGGAACCACAAGTCATGGCTGGAAGGGAGAAAGCACGAGTCGCTTCACCGGGGTGAGGAGCTGAGGACAGCCAGGTAATGGAGGTGAACATGTCACCTTTGTCTTGCCCAGCTGTGTTTTGCTTTGCAGGTGGGTTCTGCAAGTCTGAAAAGATACGAGCGTGCAGATGTTTGATGTTAATGAATCGCTTTTTTGTCTTCTTGAGGCAGAGCTGATAAAAGGATTATTGTTGCTTGGAGCCTGAAGAGCCATGAGGGGACTTATGCTGCAGACAGCAGGAAGAAAGCTGAGCTTTCCCGTGTGTGAAGGGACCTGCAAAACTCACCCTGCCCAGGACAAACATGAGCCTGCAAGAGCAACACCTCTTCAATGGCAAAGAGAGATGCTGACCGTCAGCTCAGGGACACCTGGAACCAAATCTGTGGCTGAAAATGCTTTCATTTCCGAGTGTAATATGATTAAAATCAATTTTTTCAAGCGGTGGTCTCCTCAGTCTGTTAGAGCAGTCCCATTCTCTTTGGTTTAGCCAGGATAACTTTGTACCTGCACAGATCCTCCATTCAAAGATGTTAAAGCTTTCATCCTGTCTGGTTTCTGTCTTTCCTTAAGAGGTTGAAATTTCCCCCTGCCCTTTTGACGTGTTTTTTTTAGGGAATACTTATGCAATGATCCTCAGGGATTTTGTGCTTTGTAAACAGGCCCTAGATTTTTCCTTGCAGGAGGAAGGGAGGCGAGGAACAAGAGAAGAGAAACATCCTGATTCATAGCCCGTGTTTACTCTTTGGTGGAGCTGTGCTTCGGAGCATGCGGTCATAGGACAGGCAGCACTGCGTGTTCCCTGGGTGTTCGAGCGTTGCTGCTGGTTCCCAGCTGCTGGATGACATCTTTGAGGGTCACGGGTGGGCAGAGGGCCAGGTGTGTGCTCAGTGCTGCTGGGGCTGCGCTGTCATGGGCAGCCTCGTGAAGGTGAGCTGCAGCACAGCAAAAAGCTGCTTTCCCTGCATCCCACCCAGCACCTTCCTCCCTGGAGGGCCACGGAGATGCTGCGAGGGCTGGAGCAGCTCTGCTCTGGAGCCAGGCTGAGAGAGCTGGGCTGGGGCAGCCTGGAGAAGAGAAGGCTCCTGAAGGGGAGACCTGAGAGCAGCTCCAGTGCCTGAAGGGGCTGCAGGAAAGCTGGAGAGGGGCTTGGGACAAGGGATGTAGGGACAGGCCAAGGGGAATGGCTTTAACCTGCCAGAGGGGAGGCTGAGATGAGCTCTCAGGCAGAAGCTCTTCCCTGTGAGGTGCTCAGGCACTGGAACAGGCTGCCCAGGGCAGGGCTGCAGTCACCGTCCCTGCAAGTGTTCACACACCGTGGAGGCAAGGCCTCAGTGCTATGGGTCAGTGGTGGCCTTGGCAGTGCTGGGAACGGTTGGAGTTCGTGATCTTGAAGGTTGATTCCATGATTCCATGAGCTCTCTCCGCATCCCAAAGCCCTTGATGGAACCAGAAAACGAGGTAAAAGGAGAAGCGGGTGCTTTGGAGTTACAAAGACACCGTGTTTACCATAGGAAGCATGAGGAAGGAGTAGGGATGCTGCTCGTGATGCAGTGGGGTCAGGTTAGCAGCCATATGCTGGGGTAAAACTCAAACAAAACACCCTAAAATCACCTTTGAGGACCCCCAGCTCTGCAGAGCACCTCTCTGAGGTGGCATTAAAGCCCAGCTGCCTCCCTGGCTCGTTGGTGCCCACTGGGGATCCCATGAAGCAGTGCTGAGGATGAGGTGGCTGCAGGAGCCCAGGCTGGGCAGAGCTGCCTGGCTCCATGAGGACCTGCTGGAGACACAGGGAAAGCCAAGCCCCACAGACCCCCCATGGGCTCCTCCATGGCCTCAGTGCCTGCTCGTTACCCAAATACTCGTTAGGAGCTGGTTTGGAGCTGTGTTATGGCCGTGAGTGGGGCTGGGTTTGGGGCTGGGTTTGGAGCTGGGTTTGGAGCTGGGTTTGGAGCTGGTTTGGGGCTGGGTTTGAAGCTGGGTTTGGAGCTAGTTTGGGGCTGTGTTATGGCTGTGAGTGGAGCTGGGTTTGGGGCTGGGTTTGGAGCTGGTTTGGAGCTGGGATTGAAGCTGGGTTTGGAGCTAGGTTTGGAGCTGGTTTGGGGCTGGGTTTGGAGCTGGTTTGGGGCTGGGTTTGGGGCTGGGTTTGGAGCTGGGTTTGAAGCTGGTTTGGAGCTGGTTTGGGGCTGGTTTGGGGCTGGGTTTGGAGCTGGGTTTGAAGCTGGTTTGGAGCTGGTTTGGGGCTGGTTTGGAGCTGGTTTGGAGCTGGGTTTGAAGCTGGTTTGGGGCTGGTTTGGAGCTGGGTTTGGAGCTCGTTTGGAGCTGGGTTTGGAGCGGGTTTGGAGCTGGTTTGGAGCTGGGTTTGATGCTGGTTTGGAGCTGGTTTGGAGCTGGGTTTGGAGCTGGTTTGGAGCCGGATTTGGAGCTGGTTTGGAGCTGGGTTTGGAGATGGTTTGGAGCTGGTTTGGGGCTGGGTTTGGAGCTGGTTTGGGGCTGGTTTGGAGCTGGTTTGGAGCTGGGTTTGGAGCTGGGTTTGGAGCTGGGTTTGGAGCGGGTTTGGAGCTGGGATTGAAGCTGGCTTTGGAGCTTGTTTGGAGCTGGTTTGGAGCTGGTTTGGAGCTGGGTTTGGAGCTGGTTTGGAGCTGGGTTTGGAGCTGGTTTGGAGCTGGTTTGGAGCTGGGTTTGGAGCTGGTTTGGAGCTGGGTTTGGAGCTGGTTTGGGGCTGGTTTGGAGCTGGTTTGGAGCTGGGTTTGGAGCTGGTTTGGGGCTGGGTTTGGAGCTGGTTTGGAGCTGGTTTGGGGCTGGGTTTGAAGCTGGTTTGGGGCTGGGTTTGAAGCTGGTTTGGGGCTGGGTTTGGAGCTGGTTTGGAGCCGGATTTGGAGCTGGTTTGGAGCCGGATTTGGAGCTGGTTTGGAGCTGAGTTTGGAACCGGGTTTGGAGCTGGTTTGGAGCTGGGTTTGAAGCTGGTTTGGGGCTGGGTTTGGAGCTGGTTTGGAGCTGGTTTGGGGCTGGGTTTGGAGCCGGGTTTGGAGCTGGTTTGGAGCTGGGTTTGGAGCTGGTTTGGAGCTGGTTTGGGGCTGGGTTTGGAGCGGGTTTGGAGCTGGTTTGGAGCTGGGTTTGATGCTGGTTTGGGGCTGGGTTTGGAGCGGGTTTGGAGCTGGTTTGGGGCTGGGTTTGGAGCGGGTTTGGAGCTGGTTTGGAGCCGGGTTTGGAGCTGGTTTGGGGCTGCGTTTGGAGCCGGGTTTGAAGCTGGTTTGGAGCTGTTTTGAAGCTGTTTTGAAGCTGGTTTGGAGCTGGTTTGAAGCTGGGTTTGGAGCTGGGTTTGGGGCTGGGTTTGGAGCTGGTTTGAGGTTGGTTTGGGGCTGGGTTTGGAGCTGGTTTGGAGCTGGTTTGAAGCTGGTTTGGGGCTGGTTTGGGGCTGAGTTTGGAGCTGGTTTGGGTCTGAGTTTGAAGCTGGTTTGAGGCTGGTTTGGAGCTGGGTTTGGAGCTGGTTTGGGGCTGGGTTTGGAGCTGGTTTGGGGCTGGTTTGAAGCTGGTTTGGGGCTGGGTTTGGAGCTGGGTTTGGGGCTGGTTTGGAGCTGGTTTGGGGCTGGTTTGGAGCTGGGTTTGGGGCTGGTTTGAAGCTGGTTTGGGGTTGGTTTGGAGCTGGTTTGGGGCTGGATTTGGAGTTGGTTTGGAGCTGGTTTGGAGCTGGTTTGAAGCTGGTTTGGGGCTGGGGCGCAGCAGCCACCCGCTGGTTCAGTCAATCCCAGTTTTTCAGCTCTGAAGCTCCAGATTTACCAATTTGCTGCCAAAATGCCACTTCTGGTAAGCGTTTTCTAAGGAAAAGATACAAAACTGGGCTTGAATTTTCACCCCAGGAAATCAGCCGCAAAGTTCTGCTGCCTCCCGCGCTGGTTCCTGCGCTTTTCCTCCCCCTTCCGCCGTCAGTTCCCCAACGCCAAACCCAACGCCAGGCATGCTTCACCAACTGCCTTTGGAAATGAGCTTTTATTGGCGTGATCTCCTTGTTTTCATGATTGATTTCATTGCGGGGAGCGGGGCCTTCCCTGTGTGCCAGGGCAAGGCACCAGGCACCGGTTTTGGTGTCTCAGGACCAAGGCGGGCTCTGCCCGGCCCCTGGGAAGGCACCGAGCCCGCAGCGGAGCCCGTTCCTGCCGTTGAGGTGCGTTCAACAGGAGGGAGTGGAGCCCTTGCACAGGGAGTTGCGGTAGTTCCTGTAGGAGCTCCGGAACGTCCTGGCTGCCCTCTGGAAGCACTCCGCCGCCCGCCTGTCGCACTCGCAGCTCCCTCTTTGACACCAAGTCCCAGATCCTGGAAGGAAATGGGGTGGGATGGGGATGGGAGAAGGGAAGGGGGAAGAGGCAGAAGATGGCTCTTGGATCATCCCCATGTTGAGTTTGGGGCGTCCCCTGACCTGTGGCGCGTGGGGCTATAAACCATGGATGGCCATAAAGGAGCTGTTGAGGTGACTTTATCTATGTATGTATGTACAGATATTTGCCTAGGTTACAGGGAAGTGCTTTGTTTTTAGCCACTCACCATGACAGGACAATGTTTGCTTTGGGGAAAGGGAGGCAGCAGGGCCGGGTCCCCATCTGAGATGGGAGGGTTGCCTCAAACCTTCAGTATTGGCCCTTACAGAAGGGCAACCCCCTCCTTTGGGAGGTCTCCGAGCTCTACACCTCACCATATTCCCAGGAAACATTAATTTGCCCTATTCCAGGCACTTTTCCCTCCTTTCCACCCTCTCCCCAGCTGGTTTCCAGGCCAGGATAATGGCCTGAAGGACATCTCGGAGGAGAGGTGTGTGCCTGTGCCTCTGGCCCCGCGCCGCCTCTCACCGCACGTTATCTTGCTTCCCTGGATGGAGTATTTGTACGTGACCAGCTTGGGGCTGCAGCGAGAGGAGGACAGCTTCTTGTAGCAGCAGTCGTGGGCATGGCAGCACCTGCGGGCACGAGAGGGAGCGATTCGGGTGGTGCCATGGCGGTGAGCAGTGGCAGTGCTCACATCAGCGCCGTGAGGAACGTGTCCCGTTTGTCCTGGGTTAGATGCTCTCCTCGTGCTGCAGGAGCATGGGGAGGTGACTCACACCTTTGGCATCACCAGCCCAGCTCGACATGCTTCCCCTTGCTTACAAATGGCCCATAGCTGGATCCCAAAGCATCTCTGCCTGATGCTGCCCGGGCAGAAGCAACGCTGCTGTGCCCCATTCCATCACCTGCTGCTCCCGAGCAACGCTTAAGGAGGACAAGCAGTGATGCTTGCATTGGGCTACCGGGAGCAGGGCAAGCGTTCCCTGCGCTGATGGAAGGAGAGGGAGGGCTGGGAGCACCGGGTCCTGACTCACCTGTCGGTGGCGTCCAGCGGCTGCTTGGATCCCCCCAGGCCGCAGTAGCAGCCGTAGCCGTTGTAGGACAGCGGTGATTTCCCTGTCTTGCCCTTGATCATTGAACCGAACTGAATCACGTTGCAGGCAGCAGGCGCCAGCCCTGCCACTGGGGACAGCGGCGTTAGGAGCATGGGGAAAGCAACCTCCCCTCCCACCCGTCTGCAGCAAGGAAGAGCATTTTCACCCTCCCCGGTTCACTGCTTAGGGATGCCTCGGCCATGGAGGGTACTCACAGCAGAGGAGCAACAAGAAGAGCTTCATGGCTGGTGGTGGCAGCTCCGGTGTCCGGGTGAGCCCAAGGTGCCTCCAGTCACACCTTTTATAGCCCCATGGGCTGCCTGGCGCTGCCCCTCCTTCAGAGAGCCCAAAGTGGGCAAATATTGACAAATGTCACCATTTTGGTGGCACTGTGTGTGCGAGCCTCTCTCGGCGCTGCTGGAGGCCTCAGTGGGGAGCCCTACACTGGGAGAGCCCTTTGCAGGGGAGGTTTTGGTGGACTGGGATGAATGGGGCAGACCAGGGCTGAGTCCATGCATGGCTCCTGGCTATCTCAGCATCCCAATGGGAAAACTTGAGGGAAAATGGGAACCACTTCGCTCCTGGATGACTCTTTTTGATGTCTAGGTTGGAAAACACCATTCTGTATCTTACCCTTTCCATCATGACTTACCAGGCAGGGAGAAAATGCAGGCAGTGCAAAGCATCCTCTGCTTCTGAAGTACCCATTGTGTGAGATGCAGCACCGCGAGCTGGTGGCCCTCCAGAATGGGCTGTGGCAAGAGATGGGACTGAGGAAAGGGTCTGTATGCTGGATTTCCTGGGTCTTCAGTGCCCAGAGGCTCCTTCTGTATGGGGATGTTCCATTGCTTCCCCTGTGTGCATTTTCCTCCTCTCAAAACAGAGCAGGTGTCGCTCATGGACCGCTGGGTGAGCTGTTTGGCTCACATTTAGGGCACCGGAGCTGGTGCAGGGCCTGGAGCACAAGTGTGATGGGGAAGGGCTGAGGGACCTGGGGGGTTCAGTGTGGAGCTGAGAAGGCTCAGGGGGGACCTGATCACTGCCTACAAGTGCCTGACAGGAGGATGGAGCCAGGAGGGGCTGGGCTCTGCTCCCAAGGAACAAGGGATGGGACAAGAGGAAACGGCCTCAAGCTGCACCAGGGCAGGTTTGGATGGAGCTGAGGAACAATTCCTGCCCCAGAGGGTGCTCAGGCATTGGAACAGGCTGCCCAGGGCAGGGCTGCAGTCACCGTCCCTGCAAGTGTGCACACACCCTCAGTGCCATGGGTTAGGGGTGGCCTTGGCAGTGCTGGGGAATGGTTGCTCTTGATGAGCTTAAAGGACTTGTCCATGATTTATGTAGAAGGAAATTAAGGCAAGCGGCAGGACAAGGGCAAACAATACCAGGGGTGTATGCTGGAAGGGTGAAGGGGAGGACGGCTGTCGCTTGCAGACAATCTCTAACGCAAGAGGTGATGCTGAATGCCCATTTAGCAGTTTCCTTCTGGCAGAGCTTGCAGGTTCTGAGTGCTCTGCGAGGAGCCCCAGCACCGGCCAGGGCGAGGAAATCCCCTGTCTGTGATGGGGAAACTGAGATGGGAAACAAGGACGTGACTTGTGTGAAACTGGAGTGATGATGGGAAGAAGGAACTTGGGTCAGGGCCCCAGCAGGATCTCTTCCCCCTCTGTCGGGAGCCTTTTACACGCCTTTTCTGCCTTTTCTCCAGGCAGAAAAATACATAAATAGTTAAAATTCACCCAGGATTTCAGCAGGGAGAGTGTGTTCCAGCTCATCCTGACCTGCAGTCCACCTCTGTGATGCTCCTGCTCCCATCTCGGCAAGGATTTGATCCTTGATTTATGCCATAGACAGCAGCTGTGGGGCGAAAGGCTGCCCTCTCCTTCCTTGTCCCCCTGAGGATAAGCACAGCTGGCAGAGCTCAGTGCTGGCTTGCAGCCAGAAGGAAGCGTTGCTGATTTAAGGGATATTTCCTGGTGCCACCGAGTTCAGCTTTGGCACAAGCCAGGGTGGGAATGGCAGCTGCCGAGGCCACGTTTGCTCCCTGTTCCTGTGGCTCTCCATTGCTGAGCCCCACAGGGGGTCACAGAACCAGGACCTCAGAGCGGGCCAACCCCCGGGGCAGAAACCCTGCTTTATGGGGACGCTGCTGTGGTGAGGGGGGAAGCAGCCGGTGCCTGAGCCGCCTGTTCTAGGGGCTGTGCTCGGGCTTGCTGCAGAATCAGGCCAGAGCATTCCTTTCTAGTGAGAAATGTGTTTTGCTGCGAGGCGAGCTGCTGACCACCCCACTGCAGCAGAGGTTGCCAGCGCCCGGCCCTCCCCAGCATCACTCAGCCCTTTGCGTCGGCTTGGATCGCTCCATCTCGGAACAGCCGCACGTCCCGGAGCCTGGAGGCTCGGGGATGAGCGGGGATGTGCAGATGCAGGTCAGGGGGTGTCATTTTCGCTGGTTTTCCGTCGGGAAACCCAGCTAAGACGTTAGCTGCTGCCTGCGCGAGTCACGCCGCGCTGAGGACCGAACTTTTGCGCTCTCTGGTTTTATTTGGGAGCAGCAGAAGGGAACGTGCAGCGAAGCGAAAAGCAGAGGGAGCGGAGGGGCTGCACAGGAGCCAAGGGGGAACGCGCGCTGGCTCCATCTCGCCCTTCGCAGCGACGAGGAGCGGGTGCCCACCGCTGCCGTGTTTCTCTGTGCCGAGACCTCGCACCTGAGCTGCTCTCCCTCTTCGGACCCGGTGCGCACCGGCACAACCGCACCAGGGGGCGGCTGTCCTCGTGTCGAAGCCAGAAAGCCCCACGGAGGAGACCCGGCAGGGCTGGGGTTCGCTGCTGGCCCCGTCCCTTCGCTCACCAGCCCGGATGCGGCTCAACGCAAGGAGCCCTTTGGCTTCAGCACCGCCCGCCTCGGCCCCGGCACTTGCTGCGGCGCCGGAGCTGCCCCCGGCTGTGCATGCGGCAGAGCAGGGCTGCCCGCTCGCACCGGCAGGCGCCCCTTTGGCACCGGGTCCCGGAGCCTGCGGACACCGGAGGGAAGCGCGGCTGAGCCCTCCCCTTAGGGCAGCTCCGCGAGTGCTGCCCGGGAAAGGGAAACGGGATGCTGGGGACCAGCGGGGACTCACTGCAGCGGGGCACTGCTGCCCGGGGCACAGGGAAGGGCTGCGCGGGTCCCACGGGGCAGCGCCGTGCCGCCAGCCTGGCGTAGCAGCAGGCCCGGAGCCGGCAGCACCTGCGGCGAGGAGAGAGCCCGGGCTCATCCGAACCACGGCACCAGCGGCTTCGGACCTACCTGGCACGGGCCCTGCGAGCTCGGCGTCCTCCTCCTGCTCTGAACCACACCGAAGCTGCTCCTTCCAGCCCACCCTTACACAAAGCCTCTTCTCTACTCCCCTGTGCTACCTCTGTCCAGCTCTGGGACCATCCTGCCTTCAGGACCATCCTTCTCCTCTGGAGCCATCCCATTGACTTCAGGCAGCTGCTGCTGGAACAACCCTACTGACTACAGGGCTGGAATTAGGGGTGAAGGCGCCTTCCCTAAAGCCTATTCCCCTCCTGTAGCTGGCCATCGCCTGGTCTGCTTTTTGCAAGGCTTTAGAGGTTGCTCATGACCCCTGGGGTTACCCTGGGGCCAGCGTTAGCCCTCAGGGGCAGCACTGTCTGTACCGGTCCATTGAAGCCCTCGACGTGCCCCATCCCGAGGAGCAGCCATGGGTCACATTTCCTACGGTGCTCCCCTCGAGTCCCGGTGCAAACGTGTGCGGGAGCTTCCCATGAGCTATGGACACACCTAAAGGGAGCAGAAAGTGTGATTTTTACAAGTTATGTGCAGAAACAAGGTCTGGGGAATGATGGGGATGGTGTCCCCGTGGAGCGCACGGGGGTCTGGGGATGCTCCGTGCATCAGCACAGGGCTGCAGCCTGGCTCCCAGCTCTGGGTCAGGGACGGCTGCACTTACTGCAGGCAAACAGCACTGCCACCATCAGCAGGACCTTCATCTTCCTCTCACCCACGCCTGGGAGGAGAAACAGGACACGCTCAGCAGGGCAGGGTGACAGGCACCGCCATTCAAACCTTGCCTCTGAAGTCAGGTCTGATCACCTCGAAATCAGAGGTGGCAAAGGCAGCGTCTGTGCTGCTGCCCCTTGGCCAGAAGCAAACCCTTTGGGAACCTGTCCCACCACCCTAGCACCTCCCGCCTCCCGTCCCACTGCTTCCAGCACCCAGGGCATCACTTTGCAGGGGCAGTGCCACTACCCCTGGGACGGAGGTTCTATCTGAGAGCAACGGCAAGCAGCAGAAGCAGCTCTGCAGCATCCCCCCCCGTGGTTTCGTTCTGCAGCAGCCATGAGCCCACCCCACAGGGGGAGTTGCTCACCGGGGGATGGCTCCGTCTCCCCTTCCTCGCTGTCCTGGGGAGCAGCCCCTCCACGTCCGGCCCGAAGCTCCCAACTGGAAGTGCTGAAATCACTTCTCTGGCCCAAAATTGCTTTCTGCTACGCCCCTTCCCTCGATGGCCAAACCCCTCCGTCCCCGTGGGCTGCAGCCCCGTGACGCAGGGGCCGAGACGGAGTTCCTGCATGGCCTGGGGAGGATGCTGTGCTTTCACAGAGGGGATTTCTCTGCTGCCCACAGAGGGGTGGATTAAGCACGTTGTTTATTTGCGCTTTGAGTGAATTCACAGCAGCACTGACGTGGTTCACACAGGCAGGGACGGAGGGAGGTGTGGATACAGAAGCCAGCCCCACATCCCAGCCCTCATCACCAGCAGGGATATGTGGATGTGTGGGTGCAGAAGCCGGCCCCACATCCCAGCCCCCATCACCAGCAGGGGTGTGGGGATGTGTGGGTGCAGAAGCCGGCCCCACGTCCCAGCTCCCATCACCAGCAGGGGTGTGCAGATGTGTGGGTGCAGAAGCCGGCCCCACGTCCCAGCCCCCATCACCAGCAGGGATGTGGGGATGTGTGGGTGCAGAAGCCGGCCCCACATCCCAGCCCCCATCACCAGCAGGGATGTGGGGATGTGTGGGTGCAGAAGCCGGCCCCACGTCCCAGCTCCCATCACCAGCACCGGTGCCTGGGGTAGAATCGGTGGCTCCTCCTGTAGCTCCCGGTGCTCCTCTTGAGGCAAAGGGCCAGGCTGCGGTCGCACTCGCAGGAGAGCCGGGAGCACCACGAGCCCTTTCCTGCAGGCAGAGGGGACCCCTGGGTCACCCCAAGCTCGGGGGTTGGGGGGGGGGGGGGGACCCCCTTTGCCAGGGCCCTACTCACTGCAGGAGGGGCTGCTGCCGGCCCAGTCGTAGAGGTAGCTCTGAGCTTTGGCATTGCACTGGTGGCTCAGGAGGCTCTTGTAGCAGGTATCGTGCAGCTGGCAGCATCTATGCGGGACCTCGAGGCTTTGGGGCTTGGTTTTGTTCCCTTTCCCCCCCCCCATTTAAAGCCATGCTCTGGCAGGGGGGTGTTGGAGCCGCTCTTACCTGTCTGTGGCATCCTTGGGCTGCCCCTTGCCCCCAAAGCCGCAGTAGCAGCCGTAGAAGGAGTAATGCAGCAAAGCGTTTTTCCCTGTCGCCTTCGTGATCATCTTGTGCAGATCCCAGAGGCTGCCATGAGCTGGGGGCAGAGCTGGGGAAGAGGGAATAGGTGGGGTTCACGCTGACATCCAGCCCCACAACAGCATCTCCGTCCCTCCAGCTCCCAGATGGGTACCGGGCTGGTGATGTCTTTAAGACTGGTCCATGGAGCAGAGTACTCGGTGCGGGAGGGTTGTTGTATGTTTGGTGATGGGAAAAGGTCAGGGAATGACCAGCCTGGTCCTAATTTCCATGACTACACTGCATGGAGAGCCGTGGTGCGAGGGAGGACGCTTACCCCATGCAACCAGCACAGCGAAGGCCAGGTTCATCTTCCTGACAGCCCTGGGAGAGGAAACCAAACCATTCCCCTGTTCCATCAACCACTTTCCTTTGTACTTCCCCCTCAGTGGGGCAGAGGTGGTCCCACCTTGGGGGATGAGAGGGTGAGGCTGTGCTGGGGATGGGAAGCGATGGGAGTTGGCTGGTGGAGGAGTGGAAAAAGCAAACTGAAGGGATAGGAGGAAAAGTTGGAGGAATGATGGAAAAGGTTGGAGGAAAGGTTGGAAACCCTCGAGGGCTGCATCCACCGCTCTGCTCTGGGCTGGTGTCTCAGGAGCCTTCCCTGATCCTGCTTTCCCAGCATGGGCCTTGCTTCCCGCTCGCGCTGGTTGAAGGCAGGAGCAGCATTCCCACATCCCTGCTTACCTCGGGAAGCCGCCGCTCGCCCCCAGGGCCCTGCAGCTGCCGGGGTGTGCTTTATACAGTTATCCCTGCTGCCAGGGGCTTGTTCTACCCAAATCTTGCCGACTGGGCTCTTCTGCAAAGGAGAAGGCACCGTCCTTCCCCTTTATGGGAATGCAGGGATTCCCCTCGGCGCCCTGGCTGTGCTCACAGGGCTGGGGCTGTCAGAGCAGCATTTCCAGCCCAAGGAGGAAGCCAAGGCTCTGTGCCCCAGGCCAGAGGTGCCCGAGGGCCTTTTTCTCTGCCCTTCCCAACACCCCGGTGCTGTATGAGGGTGGGGAAGTGCATGGGCTGCAATGCAAGCATCACCACATGTGCCTTTCCCAGGAGCACGGGTGGATGAGTGAATGTTCACGCCCCGTGTGAGGGGAATGAATCAAACCCCATGTTTAGTGATGAGTGAATGCAGCTTCCCTCTGTTTCTCTTCCTCCTTTTACACCTCCCCATTGCAGCCCCCGTGCAGAGCTCATTCCCTATGGGGAAAGCACCCAGTCCGCCTTGGGGTGGACGGGGCTTTGACGTCTTCCCTCCTCTGTGGGTTCTTCAGCCTTCACGTTGGCCATATTTGTACCTCAGTGTCACGGGAAGATCCCAAATCATCTCCCACATTTCCCACCACCGCTATTCCCATAAAAACACCTTTTGGCCTTATCCCACCTGCCCCTTAAAGCACTGCTTTGATTTTGCTCCGGGCTGAGCTCAGCTACCGGGAAGGGCTGTTGGGAAAAGCTGAAAAACCCCACAGCCACCAGGGCTCAGTGCTGGGGGATCATTGCCAAGCCCTGTGCATTACAGCCACTGCTGCCGTTGGGATCATGCGAATACCGGGGTCAGGCTCTGGTGTGGCTACAGGGTGAGATGTAAAGTGCCCCCCAAACTCAGCAGCTCGGTTGCCACCAGTGCAGTGCCTCAGTGGCTCTGAGGGAAAACCATCCCGGAGAATCACTTTAAACACCTTTTATTGCCTTTACTGGGAAATGGAATCAAGAGAGAAAAGGGAGGAGGAAGGGACAAACGGCTGGGAGCTGAGGTGTCCTTTTGGGAACGGGGAGCTCCACTCGTAACGTGTGAGTGCCCTTCCTCACCCTCAGCATCACCGCAGGGGCTCCGGCCGTGTTTGGCCCCCGTGTCAGGCTTTTCTTGCCGTGGCAATAGGGAAAGCCAGTGAAACCCTGCAGCCTCGCTTGCAGCCCCCCCTTCCCTGCTCAGCACTGGAGTTTGCTTCCTTGGCATTTCAGCTTGAAATAGAAGAGGTAGGATTTGTTGTAGGAAGGCAAAGTGCTTGCGAAGCACGAAGCCACCGCCTGGTCGCACAGGCAGGTCTCTCTCTTGCACCAGCTCTGCTCATCACCTGCAGGGGGGGGGGAAACACTGCTCTACAATGGCTTTTCTGCTCAGCAGCAGCAGCGATGGGGCCGCTCCGGGCACCCCTGATGCCTGGAGCTGCCCAGGGGAAGAGCAGGGAGCAGCGTGCCCAGTGCTCGCCCTCTCCAAGCTGCCTGCATCCCTTGTAATTCCCGGCTGTTTATCATGTGCTGTATCCTGCACGCACCCGACAGGGCACCAGGCTGGATCCATCCCAGGGGGGGACATCCTCCTGTGTACCTGGGGTGCTGTGGGGACTTGTGGGTGGTTCCCCACCTCCGTGGGACCCCCCGGCTCTGTGGCACTCACCGCAGACGATGTCTCCATCAGCAACATCGAACTGGTAGGGGGTTACCAGCGGGGTGCATGTGCCCTGTCTCAGCCTCCTGTAGCAGCAGTCGTGAGCGTGGCAGCACCTATGGGGGACACCTCGAAGGTGAGGGAGGGTCCAGCCCCAAATTTAAGGTGACTGGAAGGAGGGGATGGCCAAGACAGCAGCAGGGAACAGTGCAAACCCTGCTCCGCAGAGCACACCGGTGCCCAGGGAGGTTTTTGGGGCTCCCTGCCCCGGCTTATCCGGGTACTCACTGGTCGGTGGAGTCCACCGGGGTCCCCCTGCCGCCGATGCCGCAGAAGCAGCCGTACCAGCTGTAGGAGAGCAGCGCGCTTCTCCCCGTGGCCGCCCGGATCATCTGCTCCAGCTCCAGGACGCTGCTGTGGGCCGGCAGCAGCCCTGCAGGGCACAAGGATGAGCTGGTGCGGGGCCGGGACACAGCGGCATTCCCTGTGCCTTGCACCAGGAATGGGAATGGGGCATGGGAACCATGGGAAGCACCCCCAAACCCCTCAGGATTATGTCTGGTCTCTGCAGCTGCGCCCTTCAGTCTGGAGAACCATAGAGTCATGGAATGGGTTGGGTCGAAGGGACCCTAAAGCCCATCCTGCTCCAGCCCCTGCCACGGGCAGGGACCCCTTCCACTAGAGCAGCTTGCTCCAAGCCCCTGTGTCCAACCTGGCCTTGAGCACTGCCAGGGATGGGGCAGCCACAGCTTCTCTGGGCACCCTGTGCCAGCGCCTCAGCACCCTCACAGGGAAGAGCTTCTGCCTTATCTCCAGCCTGAACTTCCCCTGTTTCAGTCTGAACCCATCACCCCTTGTCCTATCGCTACAGTCCCTGATGAAGAGTCCCCCTCCAGCATCCAACAAGATGTTAGTGCTCTCTGAGGAGGCTGTGCCATGACTGCATCCTGCAACCCTGACCAGCTCTGGCCTTGACACAGGCAGGAAAGCTGGTGACAAAATAACTCTGGATCTCAGCATCCCAAATCCTCCCCACCATGATGACCTCCAGGGCTTTCTAAGTCTCCTTTGCCAGGCAGGAGAGGTCCCAGCCTGGATGGTGAAACCAGGGCACTTACCGCAAGCCAAGAGCAGGGTGAAGAGGAGATTCTTCATCCTCAGAGCGGTCCTGGAGGAGGAAACAGCAACAGGGGGCAATGAGCAGTACCCCGAGCACAGGACCGATGCCACCACGCCTGCGCCAGGGGCACAGAGCACGATGACGTTGTTACCATGGACGTACAGCATTGTGAGGGTACCCCTGTGCCCGAGCGCACCCAGATGACTCCTGATGGGGCCTTTGAGGCTGGTTTTGGGATGTGGCGCGTGGCAGGGATGCGCACGGGGACACAAGGGTTTTAAAACCGGGGCTGGGGGAGCTCACTGCTCACTGCTGCGGCCTCCTGAAGAGAATGGGCAATAAAGTTCCCCTCGTCCTTATCTCGCCTGCACCTCGCAGCTCCAAGGCTGCTGCTGGCTCAGTGGGTTTGCTTTATAGAGATGGCGAGGTCCAGCCCCTCCTCTGTCTGTGCTGGCGGCTCCTGTCACTGTGGAGCAGGGCCCTCGGTGAAGGAGAAGGTTCCCATCCTTCCCCTTTCCAAGAGACAGGAGTTTCTGCCACTGCAGCCCATGGTGATGCTCCCTCTACCACCTCGCTTCGCTCATCTGCTTGTCATCTCCATCTCGGGCCGTCTCCATCTCTCCTGGATGAGCTGGTCAAAGCCTTGGCTGTGATTTAATATGCACAGGTTTCAGCGGAGACACAGGACAAAAGGGACTCGTGCTCAGGACACACCGAGGTCACTGCATCCCTGTTCAGCTGCAGACACTTTGGCCTCAGTGTTGTCTCAAGTGGGTGCTTGGCTTTGTCAGCTCACGCCCTGCAGCCTCTGAAGTGGTTCCTCTTGGGTCTTGCCCCCTCTCAAATCCACGTCTGCATCTATTCCTTGTGTCTGTGCTTTTCCTGCCCTCAGGGCATGGGAGACCCTGGCAGTGAGGGGCAAGGGGTCTGTGGAATGGAATCACCACAAAGGCCATGGAAACCCAACTTGGAATGCTTTTGAATGGAGTTTGTTTAATCACCACAGCTGAGACATGACACCAAGACACAAGGGAGGCAAGAACCCGAGGAGATAAGGAACAAAAGCTGCTATTTTCCCTGCTAAACCGCAGGGCCAAGAGCAAACACCAAGGTATGCAGGGCTCCACCTCGGTGATCAACCACACTCCCAGGAAGGGAATTCCGGGAGGGAATGGTAAGAACCTGGCTCAGGGGGCTCTATTCAAGAAGAAAACCCCTTGTTGAATCCCTTGAGAGCCACCCAAGCTGCTCACTGGAGGGATGTCACCTCCCGCCTGTCCTCCAAGGTCCATCCAAGGCTCTTCTTCCCTCTATTTCCTGCTGCCAAGTGGAACAAAAAGCCACACAAGCCCCGTCAGGGGATGCTGGTGAGGAGCAGCTCGCCTGAATCCCCCCTCAAGGGTGCTGAGGGGCTTTCCCATTCATCACCTGCACACGGAACCATCTCATTGCCACTGGCTGCATTGGTTTGCATTGCAATGATGCCAACCAGTGGGGATCACACCGACACCCAAACCCTCTCTCTCCCCACCTGGCTTTCAAACCCATGGCATCCCAGATGGTTGATCATTCGCTTCCCACCTCATCCACACAAAACTCCCATTGGAGAAGATGCCCCCGTGGTGGTGGTGGTGGTGATTTCGGCACTGCTCATGCTCACATGCTTGGTTCGTGTAGGTCCTTGCCCCTTGGGGTGGGTTTGCTCACCTGCTGGCCCTCATTTCCCGAGGTTTTGGTGTGGAGTTTGACTAACCCCGTGTGAAAGGCACCATCCAGGGGCTGGGATCACACAGATCGGGGATCCAAAGGTGCCTTTAACCAAACCCCCTCATTTTAAACCCTCTCTCCTTGAGGATTTTTACCCTGTCTTCAGTGGAGGCACCAACCCCAAGGCTTAAAACCCACCCATGGAAGTTGTTAGCCCCTTGGAAAGATGCCATGTTCCAGCTTTCCTCTGGAGCAAACAAGGAGGGGCATTAACCTGCATATGTGTTTCTTCAGGGCCTTACTGGAGTGTAAATACCCCCAGTGCTTTGATCTGCAAAAGCACGTGGCTTTGGTGCAATATTCCAGACCCATCCCGAGGATGGGATGAGCTGATACTCAGCCACCTCCTTATGTTTTAGTGCACGGGTCCGCTTTGATCTTCCCCCCCGGCAGGGTGGAGATCCCCAGTTTGATGGTAGGTAAGTTAGTTATTGCTTGTTTCTTGCTCCTTTGATGGGCAGCTGTAAGTGGGAGAAGCATCTGGTTAGCTAGAGGTGGGTTTAGAAAGGGATTAAGGAGGAGAGATGGAAACGCCATCATGATGTGGTGTGTTCCCACAAGGAAAACTGACTCAGGGCCCTGCCAGCACTGCCGCCTGCAGCTCTCCCAGCACAAAGAAAGCTTAGAAGCCCCCCCCCGGGTTGTTGGTTTATGTCCCTGGCGGATTTTGTGTGTCATTTTTAAAGGTGTTCGCATCAAAACTCATGAGTTTGGTGCTGATTTGTCCAATTGATTCAGGATTGCTCAGGTGGAGCTCTTCAATCACACCATTGGGAATCAGGTCACAGGAGGGGGAAAGCCCAGTCCTTTTGCTCCTGCTCCTCTGCCTTTGCTCAGGAGAAGTTCTAACGCCCTGTTTAAAACTTTTGGGGTTAAAAAGAAGGTTTTTGGTATTAAAATAGGGCGAGTGGCACCGTTTTGTCTCGGGGGGCACAAGAGATCCTATGGGAGGGACGGGGACAACCACGGTATCAGGATCCCTACAGGAATTGGGAGGGGACCCCACTGCGACCACCCTGCTCACCCCTGTCTGCCTTGTGACCCTCAGGATGAAGCTCAGCCCCACATGAGGTGGAGGAGCTGCCCCACTGCACTGCTGAGGCTGGTCCCTGCACAGAGCAGCTGTCCCTCCTGTCTGCACCAGTGCATCACGGCTACACCATGGAATCCTTGAATCCCAGGTTGGAAGGGACTTCAGGGATCATAGAATCATGGAATCCCAGCCTGGTTTGGGTTGAAGCGACCTTAAAGCTTAACCCCTGCCACGGGCAGGGACCCCTTCCACTAGAGCAGCTTGCTCCAAGCCCCTGTGTCCAACCTGGCCTTGAACACTGCCAGGGATGGGGCAGCCACAGCTTCTCTGGGCACCCTGTGCCAGCGCCTCAGCACCCTCACAGGGAAGAGCTTCTGCCTTATCTCCAACCTGAACTTCCCCTGTTTCAGTGTGAACCCATCACCCCTTGTCCTATCGCTACTGATGAAGAGCCCCTCTCCAGCATCCTTGTAGCCCCCCCCTTCATCTGGTCCAACCTTTGCTGGCACAGCAGGACCAGGACTCGATAGCCCAGCACCCGTCCAGGCGGATCTTTAATGCGTCCAGTGCTGGAGTCACCGCTTCCCTGGGGAGATGATCCCAGGCTGGCTGCTCTCAGGGTGGGAAGTTTCCCTCTCGGTACCCAGCCCTTGGATCCCCCCCGCGGCGCTGCCGTGGCCCATCTCCGGACCAGCCTGCCCCGTCCCTCTCACCGTGTTCTGTGCACGGACACCACAGCTGCGCACAGGACCCCAGCCCCACACCGGGACCCACCGCAGCGCTCCCGAGCAGCGGCACGGCGGGCGGTAGGACCCTGCGGCGCCCCGAGCGGCTCGGGGCTGGCGGGGAGGGGCGGGGCCTGCCGCGCGACCGGAAGTGCGGCTGTCGCCGTGGCAACGCGGCGCTGTTCGCCGGCGGGCGCGGGCGGCCGGGGCTGCAGGTGAGGGGCGGCGGGGCCGGGCCGGGCCGGGCTGTGGGGCCGGGCTATGGGGCCAGGCTGTGCTATGGGGCCAGGCTGTGCTATGGGGCGGGCTATGGGGCCGGCTATGGGGCCAAGGCTGGGCTGCAGGACTGTGAAGTTGGGGTATAGGCCTAGGCTCTGCCTGTGGGCCCAGGGTTGGGCTCACGTGTGGGGCTGGGGCCAAACTGTAGCACTGAGGGCCCTGCTCAGAGCTGGGCTGTGGGGCCGGGGCGTGGGGTGCCTGTGGGCACAGCCCCTCCCTGGCTGCAGCTCCGCAGTGTAAAGTGCGCTGTGTTTAAACGGCTCCTCTGGTAAAACTGCTCTCACCTGCGCTGGGGGGGGGCAGAGCCCCTCTCTCAGGTCCCGCCATGGCTTCTGGCGGGCTGTTTGCTCTGGGGTTTATCCATCGAACTGCTGGTATCTCCTAAGTGCTGCAATGCCCTGGGAGCTCCTCCTCAGAGCGTGCAGCTACAGCTTGTTGTTGCCTTGGTGTTACCTGTTGGAGGCAGTGGATGAAGGGAGCTCCCTCCTCCGTCCCAGGAGCTCCAGGGAAACTCCGGTGAGTCACTGGAACAGTGTCCCTGTCCCTGCTCCATGCTCACAGAGGGACAGAGCTCTCTGTCTCCAAGCAGCTTCATGCTGGAGCTGCTCAGGGCACATCTCTGCTGGGAGACCTGGCTTTGGCTGTGCTTGATGCTGGTTGCTGTCAGGGAGGTGGAGGGGCAATCATGCATTAAGGATGCTGGGGAGGGACTCTTGATCGGGAACTGTAGCAAGAGGACAAGGGGTGATGGGCTTAAAGCGAAGCAGAGGAAGCTCAGGTTAGCTAGAAGGAAGAAATTCTTTACTGTTAGGGTGGTGAGGCACTGGAATGGGTTGCTCAGGGAAGCTGTGAATGCTCCATCCCTAGCGGTGCTCATGGCCAGGTTGGACAGAGCCTTGGGTGACCTGGTTTAGTGTGAGGTGTCCCTGCCCATGGCAGGGGGTTAGAACTGGATGATCTTAAGGTCCTTTCCAACCCTAACTGTTCTGTGATTCTATGCAGTAAGGAGCCCATCGCTGGCAAAAGGCTGTGGAAAAAACACAGGGGCTGTTCCCGTCTGTTGTTTGTCCCATCTGGGTGATTGGCAGCAGGTTAGGCCAACTCCATCACTGCTGGAGAATGCCAAGGGATCAGGGTTGGCTTCTCCCCGTTCCGTTTGATAACTCCTCCTGAGTAAAGCGTGGAGGAGCTCTGGTACCTTCTCTTTCAGGCTGGATGTGAGGAAGAAATCCTTTACACTGAGGGTGGTGAAGCACTGGCACAGGTTGCCCAGAGAGGTGCTGGATGCCCCATCCCTGGAGACATTCAGGGCCAGCTGGATGTGGTTCTGGGCAACCTGATCTAGATGGTGTCCCTGCTCATTGCAGGGGGTTGGACTGGGTGAGCTTTGAAGGTCCCTTCAACCCAAATTATTCTATGACCCTGTTGGACTTCTCCGAAACGTTGATGTGAAGGTTGTGGCTCAGTTTCCTGGGCTTCTGGACTGCTTCGTCCTGGTAAAGCACAGAGGAGCTTAAGCTGGAAAACACACAGCAGAATGCGGCTTCATCTTTAATAAGGGATTAATATCAATCTCTGTTGAGCAGCTTTGGTCGCAGAAGTCAGAATGGGCTTCTCTGTATTGAGTCAGACTTATCTCAGAGGTCTTCAGAGATCTTTAGAAAGACAAGTTCAGTCAGTCTTACCCTAAAGTCCACACCAGAACTTGGTCTGTCGCTGCAGGAACAGAAGTGGGAGCTGTAGGGGGGATTAGGCTCTTTAGAAGCTTTCTGGCCAGTTCCTGTAACTCTTCCCTCTACTGCCCCATCCACAGGTGCCTTGAGAAGCAATGGCTACAGCAGCTCTGCTGAACTCAGCACCATCTCAGCTCTGCTTCCCTTCAAGCGCAGCAGCCTCTTCCCTGTGGTCAGACACCACCACCATGCACGTCACCAGGCCAAAATCTGCCAAGGGACGCACCAGGTCCAGCTTCAAGTACTCTCAGAGCACGGAAGCCTGTCCTTGCCACGTGCCATCTTCACCACCACCACCAGCTCCTCACCAGCTAGTGAGCAGCCGGAGAGCATTGTTCAGGAAACCAGCATTCCCATCCAGCCAGGTGTGTCCCAAGGAGATCCCAGAGCTCCTGCAGCACGTGCCTTTGAGGACCTCCTCTTCCCTGAACAAGTACAGGGTGCTCCCCTCCATCGGCTTCAAGGGCACAGGGAGCAGCACTGTGGAAGCAGTGGCTGAACAGATCAACCGGCTGAAGGTGAGTGGGAAGCGGGAGGACATCCCAAAAGGCAACACTCTTTCTGGAAAGCAAGAATCTGCCAGCATGTCATTGGAGAGCTCACACAAGCAATGTCCTCCTGAGAAGCCAGGATGCAAAATGAGCCCTTCGGCATCAACTTTGGGAGGTTTGGAAGAGCTGCCAAAGGAAGAGTCACGCTTGCTGCTTGCTGTTCGCTCGCCCTCTGGGCAGAGGTTTGAACATCATTTCCAGCCCACTGACAGTCTCCAGACGGTCCTTGCCATGGCAGAGCAGAAAACATCAGCCAAATACAAGCATTGCAGTGTTGAAACGATGGAGGTGCCCTGCAGGAGTTTCTCTGACCTGACGAGGTCTCTCCATGAATGTGGGATCCTGCACAAGTCCGTGCTGTGCATCCGACAGAAGGAGCAGCACGATGCTGATCTTTAGGGTCCTTCTGCTGGGTGGGATGCAGCACTTCATCTGACAAATAAGAGTTTGATGTTTCCTGGGCCTTCTTCATCTTGTCACCTTCCAAACCCTCCCTGTGAAGCAGACTTGTGTATATGTCTTGAGATGTTGTTTGAGGTGTATGTACCTGCTACGTCAACAGCACTTTTCTTCACGTGTGCCATCACAAATTGCTTTCTGAGTGTCACCACCTTTGTTCGTTGGAAGTTGCTGATGTTTCCAAGAGTTTCCCATTTGTTCTTTCCTGTATTTCAGGGAGGTACCACTTCCCACAGTGGATCCAGATGCAAAGCACCTATTTGGGAAGGTAGAAAAGGAACTGGTTTACTCTGGAGGACCATTTAGGTTATCATCATCCTCAGCATCTTGAGAGTGACTGAGATGGAGCTCAAACACCCAAACCCTCCAGAAATAACAGTAACTGCTAATGGATGATGGTGAAGTATTCAGTGACATGACTGATGGTGATACACTTGGGAGGGCTCTGCCTCTTCTGAGTGACTTCAGACTTTTAGGAGCGTGACTACATCATCCTTTTCAGAACAAAGTTGTTATTTTGGCTGTGTTGGCGAGCACCTGGGTTTTCCACTTAAGTTTTCCTTCTCTCCTCCAGCTCGTGTGATCTATAGGTAAGAATAGATGTGTAGTTATGGTGGGATGTTACAAAATACTTTTTTAGACCCTTTACACTGAAATGAGTTAGTCCAAGAAAGCAAGTGCTGCTTTGGCATTTGCCTGAGGGCTTACTTGCCTCATGCAGCAGAGCAGGTTTCACCAAACCATCATTAAATAAAGCCTCACAGGGTGATTTTGGGAGGTTTTAGATCAATACAACATGCTTGTGCTAAATAAACCAGATCTTTTAGGTTTCTAACAGAACTTCTTATGGTTCAGATAATTCCATCTACTAGAAAAAAGGCTCATTTGCCACACAAATGAGCTGATTTTAATGTTTTGAGGTAAACCCAGCTGGTTTTTAACCGCAGTGCCAAACCAATTCAGAGCAGTAGAACCAGAGCAGTGGCAGAATGCTCATGCTGGCATTGACCAAGAGCATCTTGTTCTAAAGCAAGTGTCCAGCAGCTCTCTGCAAGTGGTACCTGGTGAAATGGTGTTACTTGCTGCCACAGGTGACTGTGCAGCAGCAATCTTGGTGTCTTCAGGGGGAGACCAGGACACTGAAACGTCCAGATCCTTTTAGTCAAACCTCAGTGGGGAGCGAAGGATTTCACTGTGGTACAGGAACTGTTTTGTGTCTCATTCAGTGCTAGGTGATTAACTCCCTTCTTCTGGTCTTGTGTGTGTTACTGCTGCATTTCAGAGTGTTTTCATGCTGTGCGATAGTGCAATTAATAAAACCTTTTAGGCCAAAGCTTGGATGTTAAATGATTTATGTGAACTGGAGGTGGAGCCATTGCATCTCCTGGGACACAAGAAACTGTTAATTTGATAGCAGATACCTCAGGGAATATCCAAACGGGACTTTGCCTTCAGCACCTTGCATATGCCTTCCTAGAGCTCCTCTCCATCCTGTATCAAGTACAGGATGGCAGGAGAGAAAGTGCTAACAGCCAGTGATACAGTGACCACCACACAGGTTTGAGAGGGCACAGGGGCTGATGCTTTAACCAAGGATAGAAGAGGAAAGAGCAACTTGGATTGCAGGGGACAGCACTTCTCAAGCTGCAGGATATTTACTCCTCCTGAATATTAAGATAAAAGTTAAATTAAGTTAAAAAATATCCATGTTAAGATAAAACTGAATGAGTTTGGTCCTCAAACTCACCCAGGCTCCAGCATCTCCAAAGATGGGCATATTAGTTATTTCCTTTTCTTAAATCACATGAAGTCTTATCTTGGCTAGTGCAAGGGAAAACACCTTGTCTCCCCCAGTTCCCCTTCTCTTCCCTTCAGAAGTCTTCCAGGGATGGATGCAGGGGAGATCTCAGTAGCAAGTCTGGCCCAAGAAGCACCAGAGAGGGAAGAACAGCAGTTATCTGACCCCATTTATGGTGTGGAATCATAGAGTAAGCTCTTAGGAATCTCAATCAGGTGAAGTTTACCCCATCACAGGGGTGCTTTGAGAAGGTCATCAAGAGAAAACTCTGGATTCATGGTTGTGAATGGCCTTAATTAAGGCTTTAAACCAACAAAGCATTGAAGCAAGAAGAGCCATTGCTCAGTTAATGTTCTTTATTCCAATTCAAAGTACATTAGAAACAGCACACAGGACCAGCAGCAGCTTTCCTGCCAACTCAACCCCATCCTCTGCTGTCACCAGGTCATTCAGCTGTACTATTAAAGTAGGTGATTGCAACAAGTCTTCCACTCGCCACGCACTCACTCACCGGCCACATTAAATAGGTTTCCAACAGAATAAAAATAGATACACCCCAGAATACAAAAAGTTTAATTTTAAGTTGTTTTTTTTTTTTTCTTTTTTTTTTTTCACTAAAGCCTTTATACAAATCGATAAAAGGGTGCACGAGTTCCTAAAATTTTAGGTACATTTTTAAATGAGCCTTTTTTTTTTACTTGGTAAAAGGATCCATGTTCCTGTCTTTGAACAGAATAGGATGGCCAAAATTGCAAAGAAACAAAAGTCCTAGGTAAATTTACAATTTATACACTGGTTCTGGAAGTGATTCCTGCACCAAGCACATCCCATTTTCCCCCCAAAAGAAGAGCTGTGCACCCTAAGTTCTAGTTCAGGAGCCTCCTTCTCCCTGGAAACCACACAAGAATGGTCCCAACCGAGCCAAGAGCCCGAGCATGGAAGTTGGATGTCATTCCTTCTCCAGCAGGGACGCCCGGGATAAGGGACTGCACTAGGAGCACAGTGGAAGCAGAGCACTTCCCAGCTGGGATTTGGCTGAGCCACTGAACTCTAAACTCTGGGACTGGAACAAGGGAAATGTGGTGGTCTAAAAGGGTTGGGTTTGGTCAATCCAAGCTAGCATGATTGATTGATTGATTGATTGCTACCCCTGTGGGTGCAGCCCAGCAGTTCTGTCCATTATTCATGCTGGGCTCCACAGCAGCATCTCAGAACCTGCCTGAAGGTGACTGATCCCCAGTCCAACTATTATTAGCATCGCATGGAGGTGAATCTAGTGATCACATTCATCAGTACAGTTCCTTTCACACTATCCCTCCCCATCCACCTGCTCCTTGGCGAGGTCAAAGGCTTCAGGTAAACCTCTCAAGGAGATACTTGAGCTCCATCCCCACCGGAGAGTGGCCACTCAAACAACTCAAGGATAAACTCAATGAAAATGCTGCCCAGCAGAAACAACACAGCACCTGTGTTTGCAAGAATGAGCTACTGGAGACATCCTTAGGACAATTTACGTAAGGAAAAGCAGGGCAAATCCATCAGGAAGCCAGAAATGAGGCGTAAAGAGCTCAGGGGAGCGCCAAAGAGAATGACATCCTATTTTGTACAAGTTGAGTATTTCACCCAAAGACAGCTGCCTTGTTTGGGGTTATTTGTGGGTTCTCATTTCTTTCCTTCTGTCCATTATCTATTCAGCTGTTGGATTTTAACTGATCAGGTTAATGCTGAACATGAATTCCCATTCGAGGCAATAAAGTTTTTCTATTCATCTTCAATTTGCTTTAGATAATTTGCTATTGCCCAGGTTTTGGCAAGTGTATTTCTTAGAATTCTAAAGATCTTCCCGTTTTAAGGCTAAACTAAGAAATGTTAAAAGCTTCTGTAAACATTTCCTCTTCCTCCCTACAAGTTGCACAATTTGAAGTCCAACTGCAATTTAAAATGAGGTAATTTTTGTATACTCAGATCTTAGAGAGTCCTTTTTGGGACTAGCTGAGGTGTGCCAATCCAAACGCTGATCCAATTGGAGTGGGAGAGCTTCCACAGCAGGGAACGCACCGGCTCCAGCAGCTGTGCTTCAGTTAGTGATCTTCTCAATCTCATCCAAGTCGTCAGTATCCAATTTGCTGATCTTTTTGTCTAGAAAAAACAAAAAGAATCTTATCAGGGTTTGTAACACAGAGAAGGGAAAGCTGCTTCCTTCAGCTGGGCTCAGGGAGATAAGGTTTGTCTTTGGAGAAGAGAAGCTGTGTGGAGACCTCAGAGCAGCTCCCAGTGTCTGAAGGGGGCTAAAAGGATGCTGGAGAGGGGCCCTTCATCAGGGACTGTAGTGACAGGACAAGGGGTGATGGGTTCAGACTGAAACAGGGGAAGTTCAGGTTGGAGATAAGGCAGAAGCTCTTCCCTGTGAGGGTGCTGAGGCGCTGGCACAGGGTGCCCAGAGAAGCTGTGGCTGCCCCATCCCTGGCAGTGTTCAAGGCCAGGTTGGACACAGGGGCTTGGAGCAAGCTGCTCTAGTGGAAGGGGTCCCTGCCTGTGGCAGGGGTTGGAGCTGGAGGAGCTTTAAGGTTCCTTTCAACACAAACCACTCTCGGATTCTATGACTGCACAAAACACAGCTGATGTGTGGTTAAAGGCTCAACAAACCCATTAGATCTGCTCAGAACACAGCTAGTCAAAACCCTTAGAGAAAGAAGAACGTCTGAGGGTACGTACTGAAATGCTCCTGGATTCTGTTGAGAATGTTCATGCTGTGCTTGCTGTCTACCATGTTAATAGCCAGTCCTCGCTTCCCAAAGCGACCCGTACGTCCGATCCGGTGCAGATACGTCTCATTGTCTGGATTTCCATCTTTATCCACAGGAAGGTCAAAATTGATAACAACAGAGACCTGCTCCACATCGATCCCTGAGAAACAGAAAGCATCCAATGACACAACTATTAAACCACCTCAGAGCAGAAGCAGCTGCCTCTGGCCTGACTGATGGGCAGTTTGCTCACCATACCCATGTTACCCAACAGCACAAATGGACAGGACAAGGCATGATGGGTTCAAACAAACAGGGGAAGTTCAGGTTGGAGATAAGGCAGAAGCTCTTCCCTGTGAGGGTGCTGAGGCACTGGCACAGGGTGCCCAGAGAAGCTGTGGCTGCCCCATCCCTGGCAGTGTTCAAGGCCAGGTCTCTGTATTTTAGCACATGGTTAAAGACCAAGGCTCAGCAGTTCCAAGCAGGCTCCTCACAGGATGGACTTTCTCATCTCAAGCTGCAGGAATCCTACAAGGAATCCTGTGTTTGCCCACATCATCTTTATATGCACAGCCCTGGTCAGCAGGAATGACTTTAAGGGCCCCAATTTGTCCAGACTGGGACACTC